TTTAAAAAACTCAGTTGCCTTAAAAGGACGCAGTTGGAGAGATCCAGTTCTTGGACAGCAAGTTGGACTCTCCAAACAGTCTCGTGTAGCCTAATTTTTTGCTTTTGTTGTCAGTAGATAATTTAGGAAGCATTATAGGTTTTATTATTTTTTTTCCCCTGCAAGTGAAAACTTCTCATACAGCCTTCCTGATGCACGGGACAGGCAGCTTGGGGTGAAGCTCCCTTCCGCGACCACCACGGTTGAGCCACCACGGGGAGGCTCGTCAGCGGCTGCTGGCAAGCTCAGGGGGCAGGTAGGAAGGTTAGGGAGCCCCCAGAAGCTGTCGGAATTCATTAATTATCCTAAACAATCAAAACATTTCTTTTACAACAGGGGTGTCAAAGTCAATTTCATTGAGAACCGCATCAGGATTGAGGTTGACTTTGGGGCGCTGTGGTAGGTATGGTGAGCGTGGCCACTGCTGCTCTGTTCACTCTCCTTGGCCGGATTGCTCATGTTGTGTGTGGGAGGGCAAAGTGTGTGGGTCAGAGGGAGGCCAACTCTCTCTCCTTGCGAGGAGACAAGGCTTTGTAACCAAAGCATCCTCTGTGATAGGATGGGAGACCACCAGGAGAGGTCAGGAGGGAGGGGGCAAGGGGATGGGAAAAGGCAACAGGGCCGTTGGTGGCCAAGTATTAAGGCAGGATTTATCTCAGACCCTCACTCTCTCTCATTATAATCTCTTTCATTCCTTCCATCCTTCCTTCTTCTCTTTTCTTCTTTTTCCTTCCACTCTTTCCTTCTTTTTCTTTGTCTTTCCTGTCCCTTCTTGGATGCTCAAATGCAAAAGGGGAAACATTTCTCGATGCCTTGTGATCAAATGCCACTTTTGCTAGTAGTTTGTGACTGAGAACATACCAGACTCAGTTTATCCCATGCGTGTATTTCATGGGGTGTCCACAGACAGCAGCACAGCAAAATTGTCAAAATGATGGCTCTGATAGTTGATCAGACCTCCTCCATTTTTTATATGCAACAACTTTAATGCTTGTTGGTTGCTTTTCTATATGCATAATCCTCATATGGGCTCTGCTGTAGCGACCCTGCTGTGGTGTAATTCAGACTGGAAATACAGCAAAGGAAATATTTCCCCCACTGGAAACAACGGAAAACTGGGCCTGTGCGCACGCACGCACACACGCCTGGGTGGCATTGGAGGGGGCCCCCCAAAGTGACACAGGGCAAACCCTTAGAATTTCCAGGGTGGCCATGTGGGTCGCATCCGGCCTCAACAGAATTGAATAAATGCATAATATTTACAGGACATTGCAAAATATAATGTACATAAAGCAGAGAGCAAAAAAAAAAGAATGTTAAGCAGCTGCTTATCAGTTCATTTATACAGAGTGATGAATCATTTAAAATGGTTACTAACAGAAGTCTCTAGAATTATATTGCAGATCAATTGGTATTTTTCAATTAGTAAATTTATCAAATCAATTTCTAATTGTCCATGAAGTAAATGGGGTTTTAAATAATTTTATCAAAGAGATAGAGAGATAGATGGACGGACGGACAGGACAGGACAGGACAGGACAGGACAGACATAGACTTTTCATTATATATTCTCTCTCTGTATGTGAATGTATATGGTAGGTATATGCCTACCAGACATCTGGAAACTGGCTCTAGTCAATACACGAGTCCCAGCCACNCTCTCTGACTCAGCAACCAAACAAGACAGACACAGACTTCAGAGAATAATTAGAACTGCAGAAGAAACAATGGCTACCAGCCTGCTTTCCATTGAGGACCTGTATACTGCACGAGTCAAAAAGAGGGCTGTAAAAATATCTACAGAACAGATGTGGGTTGCTCCTGGTTCGGCCAAACCGATAGTGGAATTCAGGCCTGGATCGCAGAACCGTCAGCGACCCAGGCCTGCCACGCCCCCGAATGGGTTCCCTCGCTGCCACTTGGCCGCCGCCATTTTGATTTTGGTGACTGTGTGTGCGCAGTTCACTGTAAATTGTTCTGTGCATGCGCAAAGGTTGCAAACCGTTAGTAAAACTGGCAGTAACCCACCCTTGCTACAGACCCCCTCACATCCTGGACGTAAATTGTTTCAACTCCTGCCCTCAAAACAACAGTATAGAGCACTGCACACCAAGACAACTAGACACAAGGACAGTTTTTTTCCTGAATGCCATCACTCTGCTAAACAAATAATTCCCACAACATTGTTAAATTATTTACTAAGACTGTATTACTATTATTCTTCTCTTCCTTCCTAATACCTATCTCTTTCCTAGTACCTATCCCTTTCCACTTATGACTATAACCATGTTGCTTGTATCTTTAATATTTATATTGTTTTATTTGTTTCCTGGTATAATTTGATTGCTTTTTAGTAACCTATGACTATCAGTAAGTGTTATATCTTCTGATTCTTGATGAATGTATTCTATTTTATTTTTCCACTGGGAGCATATGCACCAAAGACAAATTCCTTGTGTGTCCAATCACACTTGGCCAATAAAGAATTCTATTCTATTTCATTCCATTCCATTCTATTTAGAATGAAATACAGTTCTCTAACAAAAGCCACGTATTGGTTGGGATTTTTTTAAAAAAAAACATACGATAGCCAGCATGATGGCCATAGATTTATGTTTGCGGCAGCTGTCAAAACAGCCAGTGAAATCTTTGGCTGCAGCAACACCAGCATTAATTTCAAGATTATAGGAAGTGTTAGTTCTGCTCTGTGCTATATTGGTTAGACGGCACCTGCTGCAGTTTCTTTGCCAAGATGGAAGAAGGATGCTGAAGATCTTGCAAATTGCAGAGAGAAGACCAGGAAAGAAGGCGAGGGGTTTGGAAGTGAAATCCTCTGAAGGGCACTGAAGAACGGGATATATTTACCCTAAAGAAGTGAAGGTGAAGGAGAGACATTTTAGTAATTTTCTGAAATCTGAAGGGCTGCCAGTGTTGTGCACTCTCCAGAGTGCACAACAGTGAGACAAAAAATCTGGAAGGGGGAAGGAGGGAAAGAAAAAGAAAGAAAGAAAGAAAGAAAGAAAGAA